GAACTTATATCTGTTATGAATTTTTATTTCTTCATTGGAAAAAGTGTGTTTATATATGGTACTATATACTCCTCCCTCAGTCCAAGATGACATATACCAGTCACTGTCTCATTAAATTTTTTCTAGTGTCGATATAGATGTGTGTAGATACAACCATGTGGACTTGATACTTAGTACTAAAATCATTTGGTCTCTAAACTGAGCAACATCTAGACAGTAACTGGGTTTTCTCTCCTCGCGGGATAAATTCTGAGATAAGTATGTTATCTGTACGAACTTCAAATTGTCCATATTTAATTCCTTTTTACGTGTAGGGAACAATAGGCGTTTATGCATCTGCATACTATTATACGAAAACTTTTATATTAAAAATTTACATATAGGTCCTATATATAAAAAATTAATTACTGCAAAATTTATTAATAATTGACATGAGATTATTGACAATAAATTTTGTAATAATTAATTTTTTTTTGTGTGAAACTTTAATATATTTCTTCCTTTATGTCATCAGTATTTTTACTGATACGTCACAATACTAGGGGTTAAGAAGTCTCAAATAAAAAATGCAATCAATGAAAGTATATAAGAACCGAGTAACCATGTCATAGTAGGTCAGAATAGTTAATCACTGGAAACCGTAGCTCTCAGCGTCGCACCGTATGGTGGCATGGGGCGAACATTTTATTACCCTTGTCAAAAATTGATATTTCCCTCCTTTTAAATTATAAAATATTTTTAAATAATTTTTTATATATTAATAAATTTTATTCAATATATTTAAAAATTTTATTATTTTAAAATAAAAATATAAACTTTTAAAAACACATTTATTTAATATATTAAAAACAGATAGGAACAGAAATTAAATAGAAAAAAAGAAAGGATACTATTGGAAGCTTATGTAAAGAAATTTCAAATTTCTCAAAGTGTCTTAAATTTTGATACATTTAATTTTTTTAAAAGTGTCTTATAATTTAATATGAAAATAGTATATTTTAAAAGAAATATTGTGAAAAAAGTAGTAATAAATATGTTTATATAAAGAAAATTCAGTAATGCCCATAATTTATACTGGCGCTCTGATGTACGTATAGCTAGAAGTGGCAACCTTATTTAACTGTGGTTATCAATATTAACCTCATAATTAACTTGTAACTAAGAATAGCAGGGTGTTGATAACACTCACGATTAGGATGGAGTGAGGATTTAATTATGAGTGTGGCTGAAACTATAGAAAATAACTCCTACTCTTTTATTTTAAATTATAAGATACTTTTAGATAAATTTTGCACATCAATAAATCTCATTAAATACACCTAACAATCTTTTTTTTTCAAAATAAAAATATAAATTTTTTAAAAATACTCATCATTTAATATATTAAAAAGAAAAGAGAGACAAAAATTAATTATAAAAAGAGAAAAAGTAATATTGAAATAACGCATTAATGAAACCTTAATCTATCCAAAGTATCTTATATTTTGAAACAGAAACTCCTTTAAAAATGACTTTATAATTTGAAACAAGGGAGTGCTATATTTTTGTCCCATATTTAAGACCAAAATAAAATTTTAAAACTCTGCTTTATAATTAGAGGGAGCAGAAAACAAAAGATTGAAATCAGATGGGAGGGTGATTTGAAATTGAATTCAAGAATTGGGATCAGTGATCGGATGGTGATGAAATATTTAATGAGGTGGTGAGCATGGCATGGTAAGGTCAAATGTTGGGTGAGGTTCACAAGTTACAACAACACACGAGATTACTACATTGTATTGGAACATAACCCCCCAATCAACCTTCGTTGACTTGAGCTTCCACGTATAAAATTACAGATGAACGTAAATGCTGATCAGCTTACACGAGATCAGATGAATATTTTTGCTGTACGAGGAGAGAGGGAAAAAGGACTGATAAAAGGATAAACATTTAAGTTATGAAAGGAATTAAAGCGAAGAGAAGAATGGGGAGGTAACCAAAGGACCAAAGTTGAATGAAAAATGAATATAGGGGTTAAAAAGAAAGGGGAATGAGACTTGTAGGTTGGAAAAATCACTTTTGGCTCCCATATAAAGAATTTAAATATAAAAAAACTCATAAAATCATAAATTTACTTTAAAATCTCATGTTCTTTACTGAAATTCTTAATTACTGCTGGATAGTTATTAAAAAATTTCAACTAAAAATTCCATTAACAACTATCCAGCATTGATAACAACTTCAATATAACAAATTGATAATTTTAGTTGATGACATGGGACTTCAAGGTTTTGTGAGTTAATTATTAATGCTGCTTAATTGTCAATTGAACAATTCTATTAACAACTCTCTCTCGTATTGATTGACAACTTCAATATAACAAGTTGACAATTTTAGTAGATGACATGGGACTTCATGGTAATTCTGTAATTTCATGAGAATTTTTTATTTTTAAATTTCTTACCTGGGACGTAAAAGTAATTTTCCCTAATTATTATTATTATTTTTTTTTGCCAAAACAAAGTCATTTTTATCAATAACCAAAAAAATAAATAAAAAAATCGAAGTCAAGAAAACGAAAAGTTGTAGTCTAACACAAAGAAAAAAAGAAAAAGAAAGAAAGAAAAATCGCCAAAAATAAAGCCTAAAATAGAACTAAAAAAAAAAACCCTGAAAAAACAAACAAACTCAACAGAGCAAAACAACATTGATATCCAATACCACTTCTAATTAGTTTTATACTTTTATTAGAAATTCTTCTCCTTTTACCCCGCCATAGTCTCTTCTTTGTTTGTTTGGGTAAAAACTTAACCCTAGTAGACTTGAAGTTAAAGAGGTTACCAAATCATGGTATGATAATAATGGGAGTAGGTAGAAGAATTGAATGAATAATTTGGCCAAAGTCAGACCAAGTAACTGCCGGGCCTTTGTGTTCGGAATTCGGATTATTAATTTATTATGCATTTAAAGCAAAAAGTCTCTTGTTTTTCCTTCCATTCTATGCATCGCTTTCTGCTTTTCAACTTGTCTTCTCAATCGGTGATCATAATCATGGTGTGAAATTAATTCTTCCACTTACTCCTCCATCACATTAAACAGAACAATATGTACTAGAACATTTTTTTTCCCCCTTGCATTCCAAATTATTTTTCAATAATGCTAGCTTTGCCTTTGAGGTATCGAATCAGTCTATGTTTACAATAATAATAATAATAATAATAGTAATAATAATAATAATAATGTCAATCTACCCATTTTGACTTGCTCAAGAAGAGTTCAAGGCATGGACAAAACTGAGTTTAACGCATTTACTCTATCTAAAATACTCTATCAAATACATTTCACAAATTATGTCATATTCATAGTGTCATGTTATTCACATTTTCTCTCTAACAAAATACGTATTTTTTATGTTAAAAAAGATGTGAGAAGTACTTTAGTAAAGTGGGAAAACGTGCGAGCATTAAGAGAATAAAAAAAATTAATTAATTTAACTTACTTTTCTAATTCTTAATAAAAGGCAAATTTTAAATTTTTTATTTTATCCTTAACACAAGGCAATTCAACGTATTTAATTTTTTTAAATTTTAACCCTGTTGTTTATTTATTATGATTTGAATTTTTGGACAACAATTTATTTTAATTATTAATTACAAAGAATGGAAAAAATAAAAAGTTACATATTTTTTTTTAAGAATTTTAAGGATATATACCTATCATTTCTTAATATAAGCGTGAAATTGATCAAGTTTCCTTCTATTAAGAATTAGAAGGAATATGTTTTTATATATATATATATATATATATATATAAGAATTAGAAGGAATATTTATTTTTCCTATGAGCATAAATGATCCTCTAGAAGTTCATCAACATAACGAAGGAGCACTAAAATTTTAGTGAGTGGTGTCTATTTCTTTTCAAATTTCTATACGTTGTGTGTGTGTTTTTTTTAATCATCATATGTTGAAAATGAAAAATATTAAAAAATGGTAGTGTTAGTATCAGTATGTGCTAACTGCTTAGGTTTGGATGTTGTTCAGAAAAACAAATGTGCTACGGATTGGGTGTCTATCCATGCTTTTATTGCATAACCTACCACATGCTTATATTTATGACTTCTTGCTGTTTCAAAATTTCAATTGAGCTGTCCACCTACTAAGAATTAATTTAGATTCAAATTAGGCAGTTTTTTATTCTAATAATTTAATTTAATAATTTTTGCAGACCAAAAAAATTTGATAATCTTTCTTCTTTTTTTTTATGCTCCATAGTTTTTAAAATTATCACTTTTTAAAAATAACAATTAAGATTAAGAAAAATGAATTATTTAAATTTAAATTTAATATAAACAAGTCTTCTGCGCTCTACTACATTGATGCCACCAATGCTGCCAAGTGCTAAGCTGTGAGCACCACGTTCTTCCATCAAAACATACCTGACGTCTAGGTTGAAGCTGATAGAAATTTCAGCTTCAATAGCAAACTGACTCTTTTTTTTTTTTTTTCAATGTTCTTCAGCCAACAAATATAACTTTGACTATTGATGATAAAAAAACACAGTAAAAAAAAAAGACTATGGCCCATGTTCACGCTTAAAACTGAAATTGGAAAAAGATATAGCAGACGAGCCAAATCCAACAAGTGACAAAAGAGAGAGAGGAGGGTTTAAAAGGCTTTCATCCAATGGCAATTTAAAGCAGAATTGAAACCCTGCATGTGAGAAGCAGCACTGGAGAACCACCTCATCACGATGAAACATGTCAATTAACAGTTCAGATCCGGATGAGTTCAGATCCTCTAACTTCACAAAATTTATTGCATGTTATGCATTTGAAGAGAAATAGAGAAAGCCCGATCGTACATGATTATTTAAAATTGTTGAAATGAGATAAATACGCTCAAGTAACTATATTAATCCACCGCAAATTCTGCTTCGGTAGTATGTGAGTTGGTCCATTTATTTGTATTTATGTTACACCTAAGAATTAAAATGTCAAAATAAAAAAAAAAAAAGGAAGAGAAATGACAGCCTATGTAAATTTTGATCCAACTAATCACTAAATGCAAGCCCATCCCCAGCCCAATAGTCCAATTATCTTAACCACGTTGAATATCTTCCTAAGCCTCTAAAACTTGATCACATATAAAACATCTGTCTCCAACACCTAAGTCTCTATTCACAATTTACATATCCTTGGGTGAGTGGTCGGTTTCCGATTGTAAGTCGGTCCGATCCGGTCAGATCCGTTTTTGATAACACTGCTCCGTTTACATATCCTTGGGTGAACCACTAATCAGTATCAGTAAGATATTTTCTTTTGGATTCCGCAAAGCTATTTGGTTCATCATGTTACAGTCTCTAGTATCTTGAAAACTAAAAACCAAAGCTGGAAAGCTGAAAAGCAAAGCAATGGCTAAAGATCAGAGTGTCCATGAGTATCAGAAGAGTGTGGGAAAAATGTGAGAGCAAAATCCTTGAGAAGCAGAATCAAGCCTTTTAAATCGTTGCCTCCCAATTCAAGACAGTCTCTGAGCAATCCACCCTCCACCACCTCCTTTTGCACTGTCTCCACCACTTCCCTCATTATCCCCTGTCATTCCCATTTCATTTCTTATCATCTTCACTTTCCATTCCATTGTTACAATTACAACTAAAAAGTAAATGAATGTGATATGTAGGAAAGAATCGAGGTCGTACCGATCTGCCAAATGCTTTTAGAAGCTTTCCAGAAAGTGACTTGGAGATTCTCACTACATTTTTGTAATTCCGTCCGATCCAAGCTGCTCTCGCACCATCCGATTCCAACCGACTCAACTCGCTCACCGTCCTCAGCAACTCGTTCAAGTCCGAAACGGTGCCGTACAGCTCCCTCATCGGCAAGTCCCTCCACGCCAAGTTCGTCACGTAGTCCCATCCAGCCCACCACACGACCCTCCAGAACCCTAAGCCAAGCCCCCTCTCGAGCTTCTCGGCGACGGCCCGGGCACGCTCAGAGCCGGCGACGTCGCCCCGCGCGGCGCGGAGATTGGCGACGCCTGTCATGAGGGAGTGTGCGAGTGATATTAGGTTTCGGTACTGGAAATGAGTAGAGAAGGACTGGGATGGTGCCAGTGCTACTACGAGCAGTAGAGTGACAACGAAGAGAAGGGATGGGGTCGATCGGACCGTTCTGTACATGGATTGAGGCTTGCGTGAGTCCTCGAAGGTGGAGAGGAGATTAGTGCAGATTTTGAGATCGTCCAGGAGGAGGATCTGGTGGTGCCGGCGAGTACGGTGGCACTGGGTCTAGCATCAGGCGGAGTAACTAATGGGCCGTTCATTTGTATGTGTAGCTGATCATCGATGGGCTTGGGTTTGAGTTGCATGGCCCTGTAATGTTAATGTTTTGTTTGCCAGACAAAGGGTGAAAATAAAAGGTATAAATATATTTACCAAAAGACAAAAAAAAAAAAAAAACGCCATAGATATAGCTATTTAGCAGCTGGTAAAAAAAAAAAAAAGGCTATTTTGCAAAGCTAAAATTTTATTAAAAAAAAGGTAAAAAGCCCATCTTAACATGAGAAAGAGGTAAAAATGCCTCCAAGAAAACTGAAAATCAGCGTCTCCCAACGAAAACATATTATGGTTTATAAAATGTTAATGTAAAGCCTATAAATACGTGGATAATGCCAACAGAAGTTGTTTTATTGGCTTATAATTCACACAAATAGTGATTTCAAATTTTATCAGTAACTAGTATGTGGATCATGGGTTGCGATGCTCGGATGTGAAAAAATTATAATTTAAATAAATAATAATACTTAGTTTTACCAAAATACTTAATAAAAATATAAAAATGTTATTAAATGGAAATAATTTTAAAATTGAACTAATTAATATTTAAAATAGCTTTTTAAAATGAATATATAATACACAAATTTGGGTACATCTGAAATATGTTGATGAAATCATCAGCTTTTGTATTTATTGTTTGTAAAAATTCTCTGATATTTAAATTTCTTTTCAAATGAAATTTCAAATTTTCACCATTAAATAAATAAATATTATTTAAAATAAGACTAAATTAGAGTTATAGAATACATGAAAGTATGAGATACTAATCATTTAAAAAAATATTGCAAAAAAGGAGGCAAAATGTCATTTCACAAAATTCTAGGTCATTTGCTTAGACCAATGATAGGTTCATTGCAATGGACCTTATTAAGCCTAATTTGATTTACGTAACAATCAATATTCTATATATAAATCGTAAGGTAATTTGCTTCAAATTTCAAAATTTAAAGTCTAAGATGTTACTTGCACAATAGTTTAGTGTTTATTCTGCTCATTAATCGACAATACATTAATAAGGGACTACCACATCAACATTTGGCAAGATCCCACAAAGTCAACAATTAATGACATTATTTATAAGTTAACAGTGGAGGTAATTTGCTTTGGATTAAAAAGTTTAAGGTTCATTTTGCACATTTTAAGAATTTATAGTCTATGGTGCTTTTCACCTAATACTTTAGGGTTCAGAATATTCATTAGCCTAATAAAAAAACTACAAATTACAATTATAAGTTATAGTGAAAGGGAAAGATGGAATTATGTCCTTGCATCGAATATGTAAAATCATAGATAAAATTGTAAAAAAAATACATAAAAAAATAATTCAAGTAAATAATGATACTTAATTAACATTCAAGATCTAAATAGCTTTTGGAAAAAAAAAATATGATTGAAAGCATAAAGTGATGGTGTATAAATTTATAAGTAAAATATACAAGACTAAGAGGATATTTTCGTATGACCCATAGTTTATTATTTAAGACGGTCAAAGGATATTAATTGTAATCACACATGACACTATTGAAGATAGCAACTACAAATTATTGTGTTCAACAAAGCACAACTTCACAAGACAAAGATTTTCATCACTCCAAAGCTGAACTATAATTGAAAACTCATTATATAAGATTCCTCTTAATCATGAATGCTTAAATTAACCCGTGAACTTTAAAAACCGGCTAACAACTTGATTCCTCAAAAAGGAATGAGAAAGCGGAGAATAAAGCAACAAAAATAACCATGATCATAAACAAAAAGTATTCCAAATTATAAGGCAAATTTAATTTGAGGTGATTCAAATTTGTAAGGGCTACATAATTAAGCTACTCACAATTCTCATGGCATTTAATATGGATATAGTTGAGTTATAAGGTTTGTTTGACTTCTGTTCTCATTTTTTTTTTAAGAAATCGTTTTGCAATACAGTTTTAAAAACTGTTTGTAAAAAAAAAGAAGAGAATCTATTTGGTTGTGTCAATAGTGGTGGTTTATGATAATTATTGATCAATATAACTGTAGTTTTAATAATAAAATGTAATATACTTTGAGAATAAAAAAAATGAAATGACAACAGCTTTAATATGGGCCTTTTTTATTTCTATTTTCATATTTTTATTTTTAAAACTATTTGGCAATATAGTTTTTAAAAATACAACCAAAAAAATTGTTTGGTTATGTTACTTTAAAAACAGTTTTAAAATTAAAAAACTAATCAATAATGATGGTCACCAATGATTAACGATGATAGCTTATGAATTATGATAATTATTCAGGTTAACTGTAGTTTTGATAATTAAATATAATTTATTTTTAAAATAAAAAATTTTAAGATGTTTATATTTTAAAAAAAATAAAAAATGTTTTGAAGCCAATTAGATTAAAAAAATCATCCAAACAAGTTTGTTAATTATTTTGTTCTTAAAAAACCTATTTTTAAAACCAGAAACCAAACAAGCCGTATATTTCTATTTTTTGTTTTTTTTTTTTAAAAATGAAAATAGTTTAAAACGCTCATCCGAACAAGTTTTTTATTTTTTATTTTTTTTAGAAACAAAACTGTTTGTTTTTTTAAAACAAAAAACTAAAGCACTACTTATTGTTCTGAATCTAATTGTTTTTGAAAATTAAAAGCAAAACAAGCTCATACTCTCCACTTACTTGTGTTCTTAAAAGATAAAGCACACCGACATAAAATGCATTGGCTTGCCTTAAGTTGACATCATTTAAAGAAGAGGTGGGCATGGGCTAATTACCAAGTAAAACATGGGCAGGGCCCAATTACCAAATATATCAGAAACTGTCATGAGGACGTCCAAAAATGTATGTTATCCCAAGGACCTGTACAACAAAGAAAAAAAGCAATGGATCCAAAGGAAAATGAACCACATATAAAAAAAAATACATAAGCAATGGATCCAAAAGAAAATGAACCACATATGAAAAGAAAAATATGCATAAGAGTCTTTACCAAAAAAAAAAAAGAAAAAGAAAAAGAAAAATACACATGATTAATTTGTAGTAATGACAAAACTGATGTTATCTAGTACAGGAGCTCTTTTATACAAAATGTCATCTAATTATGGTCAAAAATATATTTACATATGATTACATGGTGATATTGCCAGACATAAATGCAATAACATCCCTCGCAGTAGGACAAAAAACATTAAATTCAATGCAAAGAAACTATTTTTCATCTAAGAATAGAGTGATCATAAACTTGAATCCCTAAAATTAAAATGCATGATTGTCTATAATATAAGCTTATAGTTAGGTAATATTAGAAAGATGATTTTATTATATTACAGAAAAGCACTTGAACTTGAAGAATTTCCAAATTTTACGTAATAGATATTTCAAAGCACTTATGGCATGTTATTGCAAGTCTACTAACAAAAGTTGATATATCTAAATGAAAATCTAGGAATCACATATACCAATTCATCTCATCACCCCGTCAAGCATTAAAAAAATCAAAAGTTTCTATTTATTAATAGTCACAAGTAGACATCAACTTAGAAATAAATAATGGAATTGGACAAGTAGACACAATTTGGCCTTCCTCATGGTGGATGTTTAAAATGCAAACCTTATGGTGCTGTCATCATGGATCATGGAGCATGAAAAATTGGAGACAAGAAATCATAGCATTCCAAACTGTAGTCATGACCTAGTTTGTAGGTCGAGGCAACTTACACTTTAACCGCATCAATGGAAAAATCAATGATATTGTGGTTATTATTTTTTGGGAAAATATTTTTAAAAATCAATGTTAATGTGGAAGTTATGATAATATGAGGAATAGTAGATTAGTGGGTTAGAAGATTAAAGATAAATAAAATAAAGGGTAGAGAAATAAGAGAGAAGGGAAAGTAGTTTTGGTTAGTTTTAGAAACATTGTTGTTATTGCTTTAAAAAAAATTTCAAAAAATAATTCAAGAGATATGTGGGGTGAGATAATTTTATTTATTTTTAAAATAAACAATAAAATATAAAACACAAAGGACACATGTCATTTCCGGACACACTCATATATACATATAATTTTTTTTAAACTCAAAAATATATCTTTATTTTGATGAATCTTTACACTCAATGCACCATTTACATATATATATATATATATATATATATATAATGAAAATTTATGATGATAATGGGGAGATAATTGGGATATTGGAGGTGAGGTAGTTTTTCATTTATTTTAAAAAATAAATAAAATGGAATCACGGTTGCAGTACAAAATTTTCTTATTATTTTTAAATTAAAAATTTGAAAGAATAAATAAATAAGTTGATGGGAATTTGGGATAATTTCATTATTATCTTTAAATTATAATTTTCAATTTTATTTATTATTTTATAATTATAATTTTAAAATTATGAATAAGTAAATGAAAAGTTGAGATAATGGGAGAGATATTTGAGTAAGGTAGTTTTATTATTTTTAAAAATTAAAAATAAAAAAATAAATAAAAAAATAGAATTAAGTACGCACATTGCTCTTTACTGTTCTACCTCTATCTATATAGAGATATAGACATTAGATTGATTCAAGGGAGAATTACATCTAATCTTTTTTCAAGAGAATTTATTATAGATAAAAATTAATAATAAGTCTCATTTAAAAAAATAAGTCATATTTTTATTTTAATAACAATACATTTTGTACTGATCCTTATTTATGATTAATTTTTGAAAGGGGGTTGAATGTGATTTTTTCTTGATTCAACTATGAGCTTTTCTAGTTTTAATTTATTTTCGTGAGTTAGCTTCCAGACCAGCTCACCCCTTTCTATGGACTAAATTAGTAACAAGTTGATTGCTTTGCATGCCGACCGTTAAACTTTAATTTATACATGACATTCCCTTTTCCCGTATAAATATAATACTCAGTTGTATAATTCTACCCCAAATTAAACATTTTATGACAGTAAAATCATTACTAGGAGTTAAAGAAAAAAAAATCATTTAGAAATACGTATGAAAATAGTTTATAAAATATCTTAAAATTTTAAACAAATATTATAAAAAGGGAAAAGCGTTTTAAAAAAGGGTATTATATCCAGAAATGGAGGGAGTATTACATACTC